TTCTCCTAATGATGATCCGTAAAGCAAAGTAGGTAGGTTAAATCAAGTCATGCCATGCATCCCTTTCTTTCAGTAGCCACAAGAGTGACATTTGCATCTGCCTGTCTGTTTACTTATTCTATTCTCCCTCAGTCGGTCAAGTTGTTGCTGCCACATCATCGCAGTAGCTACGATTTCTACCTTTTTTCATTTAAGATCACTTTGATCTACAGACTCCTACCCTACGCATCTACAGAATCCAACTAACGTGCTTAATGCAATATTACACTCAATGTAACTTGGAGCCGGGTTTCTACGCCTGAATATTTTGAGAAACCGACTGAGTGTCTAAATGTATGATTACTTTGGACAATTTCGTCAATCGCCTATTTAGGTAAACATTATTAGAGATTTAATGTAGTACAGCGATGGATATCTTGGTGACGTCCTCACCGATGGCTCAAGTGCTGAATATTTACGATAGCGCGGATGTAAACAATGGAAAAAATTGAGAGTTTTAATTGTTGTGATGAAATGTGGTAATTTTTCTACAAAGCTCGCTCAGAGATTAAAACATATGCATGTGGCATGCGTTAGTCTTTCTAATGCAACAATGGGCAGCTGATAGAGCCAATGGACACCATGGAATTACAGTGGCTGCCCACACTTCCCAAAACAATGTTCAAAAATGAAAGCTAATGTAAAAATTTCAAAAATATGTTTTTTTGACTCTTCATAAATGGAGACTTGACTGCAATAATTGACCTAACAATTTCCCTCAGTTTTGTTTATACGCGTGCTTATTTGGACTTCACTCCACATGGCAAATTTTTCAGATGGCGTGTGCAGTTTACAAGCGGGATCTGCCCAGGACAGCATGTATGTTCTGACTTCGCAGCTGAATTTTTTGCGTGTTTTTTTAGTTTGTTTTTTTTATGTCTTCGCATTCCTTCTGTTTATGCGTTCATGTCAATATGAATGGATGAAATCTTGTCTCTTGGACAAATTGATCACTTTAGTTTGACTTCTTAAATGCGTTGCCAGCGCATTTACCAAGTAAAATCTAACGAGAAACGTGCTTGTTCCTTCACTTAGTTGATGTATTTGCGATTTGTTAGATGTGGACCCGTACCAGTGTCGTAGATGTGGAAAGTGTTTTTCCCAACGTGCGTATCTAACACAACATAAGGAGGTTCTTCATCAAAGTAGGTTTCCACTGTACTTTATTGTGATGAACTACCAACACGTCTTATGCTCTCGCATATTGCATGCGTGTTTGGCAAGAACTTTGTCTCCTATTTCCTCATGAGATATAGCTGCTGTCTTAGGTTTTATTAACAAAACATGTCCTTGTTAACATCTCGTGCTTGGCATTGCCTCTGTTGCACAATGCGAGGCTCTACTGCCCTGTGCGGATATATTGTGGTGGCGTAGGCTTCTGGTTGTGTGGATCCAAAATTTGTGAACAGTTTGTCTGCAATCAACTTTAGACAGAATGGATGAATGTATCAAAGTTACTCTTAGAAGGAGGGTTTTACATGCCCCAAACAATTGAAGCACGTGCCTAAGGGATGTTCGACTCTGACTAAACTAATAGCGTCTCATAACTCTGGAGGCGCTTGAAAAATTAAGTGGGGAAGCAACTTACCGATGCAGGATTTGTAGAGGCCAAG